TTTTTTTTTTTTTTTTTTTTTTTTTTTTTTTTTTTTTTTTTTTTGGAAAGCACATTTCTGCCTTGCCGCGGTCTAATAATCTTCTGTTTCTTCTTCCTCAGTTTTCGCCTTGAGGTTTGAAGTTATTTCGAGTTGAGAAGGGGTTGGTAAGGAAACTAAAGAGTTTAAGGGGCTACCACTAAAATAGAGAAGTCACATCTGGCCCGGGCGAACCGCGACGCCTCTCGAAACGTACGTTCTCTAAAAATATTTGTAACGTTCGTGAAATCTGCCGCGTCGATATTGCAAGTCGGGGGATTAAGGAACCTTCGAAGGAATTCAATACGCGACGGACGTATACTGTGAAATACTCCTGAGAACGAGGATATCGTATTCGGCAAATAAAAGCCGGTATCTCGCGATGCCGATAGTTAGACTTTAACTTTAGATAATAATAGAATTTCTCGGACGAAACCTGCTGCTATTCTGGCCGCCTGTACTCCCGAGCTCTTCCTTAAAGACACGACCTTTCACTTGCTCTGCAAGATCGCAACAATAGTGGCCAGCTACACTTGCCACGGATTCCGATCATTTAGATTGCTCAACCCCTTTGATCTTTCGCCTGTTTCACGCGGCGCACGGAACTAATTTTATTCCTTGGTGCATGGTGAAAGCCCATCCATCTTGATTACGTTGGATATTGTCGTAAAAATGGCGATTTTCCGCGAATTTGATTGCATTGCCACACCTACGATAATTCATCGTATCTTCAAAGTCCACGAGGAATTATCAGATACCGCTAGTCCCATTAAATCACCACTGAAAATATCGCAGAAACTGTTGTATTTGTATTATACATATAACCTATAATATATATAATTTATAATATGTATTAAACTTATATAATATAGGTTAGATTAAAACCTATATAACATATAGGTTATATAGATTATATCAACCTATATAATATAAGCTTGTAATAAGGTTATATTATATTATATTATAATATAGGTTAAGTTAGAACCTATATAATATAAGTTAGGGTTGTATCTACATAAAGTTGTATTAACCTATATAATATAACCTTGTAATATAGGTTATATCAACCTGTATAATAAAAGCTTGTAATGTAGGTTATATTACATTATATTATAATAGGTTAGATTAGAATCTAGGTAACATAGGTTATAGGTTGTATTAACCTATATAATATAACTTTAATATAACCGTAATATAGGTTATATCAACCTGTATAATAAAAGCTTGTAATGTACGTTATATTACATTATATTATAATAGGTTAGATTAGAATCTATGTAACATAGGTTATAGGTTGTATTAACATATATAATATAACCTTAATATAACCGTAATATAGGTTATATA